TATATATATATATATATTTACATGACTTTTCTTGCTATTTCTTCTACTAAAATCACGGATCTTCCAACTGGGATTTGAAAACCTCCCAAAATTTTTGAACTTAGATTTAAAAGAACTGCAAAAAAATAACTGAAAAGGTAAATTCCTCTTCAATTTATAACTTCTCAAAGTTTCTAGGTTTTTCCTAAATCGAATTTCTTTCTGAACTTGTAATTTGGCCAAGCCTTTGTAAATCCTATAAAAGTTTTAGTTTTTCTATTCTTTTTACTTTTAACCAAACATTTCAATTTTTGGTCCTAAAAACGAGTGGAGAGGTGAAACAAAAGCAAAACTTCAAAATATGTAGAACGATATATAATTTTTGCAGAATTTTTGCTTTATAACAGCTGAAAGGTTGCTAATGCCGTTTTGACGAAACCGATAGTTTCGCACTAAAAAGCAATGCATTGTGACCAAATTGCACTGATTTTACAGTAACTGCCTGCTTATTACAGCAGCTAAGCCACAATCAGCAACAGAGTTTTACTTTTGAAAACCACTGTAAATGATCAGTAGAACATCCAATTCAGGAAGTCGTACTTTATGCGATAATATTCATGAATTATTACCATAAAAAGTTGGCTGTCCTTATCTCACCACTCAATGCTTTATAAATTTTGGGTTTGTCTATATCAGAGTGGGACGAGTATTGTTTTGAAAACTTTTGCCGCCGACTGAGAAATGAAAGACAAATATTTTTAATTTTAAACGTTTACAGAACCTTTGCATACCTTTGCAGTGACAACTTTTGCTTATTTTCGTAATCATACACATATATACCATTCCATATCAAGTCGCACAAGTTTGCACCTTGACCTCTCAGAATTTTTTCAGTTTTTGTCCGCTTGTAACACATGATACCGTATCTTGAAAGAGTTTACCTGAAAAGGTGTGCCGGCGGCAAAGTTAGACTCATCTTAAGTGCAAAAAAAAAAAAAAGACGCAATCCACCCTTGACATGTTAAATCACTTTTAAGAACTTCCATTTTTATGAGTTCGCAACGAATTTTCCTCGTTTTTATTTTGTTTTCAGGCTCGTGGCCTGCAGATTCAGAAAAATTAGCAAATTTGGTTTGAACCAAAATAGGGACAAACATTCAAACCGCTTTTTTTCAAAAACCAAGATTTTAAATTGTTTCCAAGAAACATATGTTTTAAAGAAATAATTTTTAACAAAATATAAGAATTGTAAGGCGATATCTATTTGGCATCAACAGTTACGGGGCGATTAGTGGCAGTGGACCAGAAAAAACCTATAATTGAAGCATCATTTTGGCACTTTCGCAAGTGGCAGGGTCTCTGTTTCAACAAAAATTTTGTAGCAATATATGTAATAATCATAAAATTCTTCAACTCTACTACTTCACTAACGGAAAATTAACTAAAATTTGTTTACTTTCAAACAATTTTACAAATCTTTTCAAGAAAAAATGTTTTTTTTAAAATTAAAAATGAGAAGAAATACAGTAAATCCATTACTTTCACAAGAACGCTAAAAGCAATGAGCGCATGAGAGACTTCTTTGCATTGTACTGGAAAACGCTGAAAACAAAAGTAGCAAAAAAGTAGGTGCACTCAAAAAAAAGCGTAAAATATTCAGGTTAGAAGGGTTCAACAAGAAAACAAAGCGATAATGACCGAAAAAAAGTAATTTTTTAAGAAAAAGAAAGAAAAAAGTGCAAATTTGTGGGACCTATATATATATATCTGATTACTAAAAAATAAAATAAATTTTTACTGCAGAATGCATACGACGCTGAAGATTTTTATTGTAATTGGTCTGTTCTATTTTTTTCTTCACTACTTAATATTTGTGCCTATACGGGGACAAAGCACAAATGTGATGAGCATTCTTATGCGGTTTGGGGAAAGCTGGCAGAACAAACGAAGTTTCAAAACCGAAGAACTGTTCAGGATGAAAGTTTCAAAAAAATTTGTCGTCGTCACCTCAATAATTCCTCCAAGTGAAGATATAAAGGTAGTATAAGCAGTTTATTTAATTAAAAGCGTCTAACTCTAACACTTTCTGCAGACACCGCGACAAAGTCGCAAGATATCTCAAAGCGGCTTCATAAAATACCAATCACATTCCGAACTTATGCCAAAAAAATATTTTCACCACCGTAAGCACCAGTCCGTCACCTTGGCAAAAACGAAGATTTTCCACTACTTAAAACGTATTTATAGGCTTTAGCAACAAATGAGAATTGGACAGTGGTTGTCGTGGCAGACCAGAAAACGCCAAAAGATTGGTACTCTCCGAAAGTGCATTTTCTAAGTGTCGAAATACAAAATGACTTAGGCTACAGCGTGTTGAAACATGTGCCATACAACAGTTATACGAGGTCTCATCATAACACCGCTCTATTAGATGGTGGAGTATTCGATGAAATAAAAAATATCTCTGGCGGCTTGTTTCCTCCATCTTTTGATGGAAAAGAAAAATAAATAAGTTTGTTTGAAGCGGGTAAGATGGTTGCTCATTGTTGAGTAAGGATTTTGATAAAATGAACTTAAGGAAGGTCATTGGCTATTTGTACGCTATTGAGAGAGGGGCTGAATGGATATACGACACAGACGATGACAACAAACCTTATGGTAACGAATAAAGCGTGTCGCGTTGAGTTTTTTTTTGAATCTTCGTCTTTAAATGGGTCCTAAACTCACAAAAAATTACTGTCTCAGTTGTTCATTGCTCACCATCAAAAAATAATCATTTTAAGGAAAGGGTTTATTGCAATTCGATTACGGCGCAGAAATTAGCGGTTTGGTTTACACTGCAAACAACCATTTCAGAAATGCCTCTACAGCAGGGTAAGTTTATTCTATCGTAAAAAATAAATTGGAATACGGTAATGAAAGGAAAAAATTGTGGACGGTTTCAGGCCTGCACTTTTCCAAACATACAGTTTTTTTGGAAGACCAGATATATGGCCACGAGGCTTTCCGCTGGAATATGTTAAAGTATGTCTGAACGTCTTCAACTGCTGCTTTTCCTTTGGCTGAAGCATAACCTTCGTTTTTTCACTATAATTTTAAACAGAGGGAAGCGGAGTTTGAATGAGAGATTGTACGTTCGCACTAATTTTTAAAGCATTTGGATTTAATTCACATTCTTTAAGCGGTTTCAAACCGTGCAAGATTAAGGAAGAAGTATACAAAATTAAAGTGATGGTTAGGAATAAAATGTTGCAAATTTTATCGGAATGAAAATCTTGTTGTTTATTAATGAAGAAACTGCTGAGTAACGACGTAAGGGAGAAGGACCAGGCGAAACATAATATGAGACCTGATTTTCGGAAACGCAAGTGGAAATGTCGTTTTAATGGCTACGCTTGGTGCTATTACGTAACAAAACCAGCGTTGCTTAAGTTCAAAATAATCTTGAAGCTCAAAAAAGGTTTAAAATCAGTAAATTAAAAAAGACATATGCCATGGCATTTTCACTGATATGTGTTTTGCCTAATTTATGCTATTTAGCGCGGGTGAAAAACCCATTGAAAAAGTGAAAATTACATCGTACTTTTTTCTTGATTCTGGGCTTTTCAGTGCAAAGAAACTCTACTTTTTAAAGTTAATGTATTTTTTTTATCACTTCGTGGTTTACGCAACAGGAAACACTAGGAAACTTGAACACGTTACAGCAAACTGACAAAGCTCTCAAATTTGGGAAACAACTGTTTGTATATTGAAGCCACCTATTCATAAAATTCCCGTGGAAAACATCAAATGTATAAGTTAGGTCCTTCAAAATCCATTGCTTCAAATTTTTCTTATTAACGCGGAAAAATAATTTCAGAAGCAAAAGAATAATCCTCATCAGTACTCGCTCTGTCGACAGGTTAAAACACCTGTAATACAACAAGGAATTGTCAGAAAGGACCCAGACGTAGACGCTATCTACAGGCTTTTAAATGCCGAGCCGGAAATTGGTTTGAACGAAGAATTTAGTCCGTTTGCACCTACAGTTGTACTTGGAACAAGTAAGAAGTTTGAAAAAAGCAAAATCTCCTTCATAAATTTTGCTGCTTAGTAATTTACTTTCAGACGTTTATTCGCCATTCAATAGCCAAAATACACTGTTCCATAAGTCAGCATTTTTTACTCTTTGGCTGCCAGTGTCAGTGGCTTTCAGAGTAACAGATATCTGGCGCTCTTATTTTGCTCAAAAACTAATTCATCTAATAGGAGAAAACATCGCTTTTTATCCCGTGAATGCGGTCCAGAATAGAAATCCACATAACTATCTGAATGACTTCAAGGTGCTGTAAGGAAATTCTCACTTATAAAGCCTAAATAATCAGAGATTATTGATAATAAAAGATCAGAAGAAATTGTGAAGTTGTGATTGTGAATTTGACATTGTAAATTCTCGCTTAAGGAGGAGAAATTGCTGTACGGAGATGCTGGAAGAATGGTGGGATATTTGTCAGAATGGAACTGCTCTAAAACGCTGCTAGAAGAGTGTATAGTGAGCTTGGCTGAGGATTTTGCCCTTAATGGATTTTGGGAAAAGAGCGATGTCTACTTGGCCAAAGCGTGGGTGGATGACCTTAAAAAACTGAATTATACGTTGGTACTTTCGACTTTTTTAGAATAATTTATGACGCATACTTCAAAGTACTGCTCATCATTGTTGATTCTCAGTTTTAGAATCTAGATGAAATTTATATGTCCTTATAGTTGCAAAGTAATCATTGAGCTAATTATAAGATTTCCGTTGATGACTGATGACAATGAAAAATACGAGACGGAAAGGAATGAAACAATTCGACATATAAACTGCAGAAGAGCAAATCTAGAAATAGTCCACGACGTGAAAAACGCGACAACGGTAGTGCGTGAATCTACACTGAGTAAAAGGCAAATTATGTTGTTTCTAAATTATTTATTCTGACTTTTGACGACATTGCAGTTTGAAATACGGAAGGAACAACAAGCTATTAACTCGTTCAGAGAGTTAGACGAGTGGTGTAACTATACTGACGACAGTTTTAACGAAACGGATGTGCAGTGCGAATTCGCTGACCGTTTGGCTGCGAAGCATTCTAATAGCAGATTGAAGGAATACGAACAAATTGCATGT